AAATGAATAGTCACTCAATTTTTTTTTATTTATGGTTTAGTTTTCATTACGTTAATAGCTTTTTTAATTAATTTTTTTCATTGTTAGTACATTTATACAAAATTTAATAGAGTGGTTACTACAATTTTATTGTGTCTTATTCTTTTACATTTTTTTATTCGTAAACAAAGTCATTTTTAGGCTGCAATCTAAGGCATAATACTATCAAATTAACAATAAACCGTTACAACCGGGTATTTATTTCCGAGATTAAAGTAAAGAATTTATACCTATTTCTTGATATATTCTGATTTTATTGTTCTATTTTAAAAAATTTTTTAAAATAAATCTAGTAACGAGAATAATGAAATGTGCATAGTCAACGTACACATTTTCATGTGTTATCATTGCTTAGTGGATGATAACTCACTATGCATACATTATCATTATGTTTGTAACATATTATAGAAACAAAATAAACATTTAATTATTAATAATAAAAAAAACTGGCTTCTAATGTTAACTAAGAGTTAAATAAATGATTATACCATTAATTGAAAATCATTATGATGATCATTCATGATCAACCATGCCTGCAATTTAGAAGTGAAGACAGTGGATTACAGTTTGACACTTTGTCACAGGCTATGGGCCCAGGGGGCCGTCCAAAAATTTGGTTATTCACCAGTTGAAAAAAAAAAAAAAAGAAAAGGAGATACAATGTGTGTATTTATGTATTAGGTAATATGAAATCGATTTACAATATTTTTCTTTCCATTGTAGTTTACATATCTTCTAGTAATCCTTCTTGATAATGTTGTTACTGTGTCTTCTTTTAATTTTAATTATTTTCGTATATCACTAGGAGCAAATGAGAAAGGGCAGAAAGTAGCTTTGGTGAATACTGGAGAGACTGATGCCAGATATATAGAAGAAGCAAAGAAATTTTTGATAGGTTTCACAAACTGTCACGTGAAGAGGTAGATTGAAGTCCTCAGATGCTACCGATGTTTCGCTTGTGGAACAGAAGGTACCAAATATGGAGCAGAGAGTGGCAGCTGCTTAGCATTTAGAAGGACCCGAAAAGAGGACAAGACTAATGTGTCTACAATGCGCTGATAGAGTTTAAGTGGACGGAAGCTAGGTAACCAATACAGACCCAAGCTGTGCTAACTTACAAAAGCTATCAGCAAACGGAGTCAACGGAAATCGATGTTTCCGCAAAACAGCAGACGACTAGATGGAATAGAGAAAATGCAATATTACAACGGGGACAACACCCTGATGATAGGTTACGTCAGTAATAAACACTCCATAATCCTGGCTCAAAGTATTAATTCGAAAGTGCATTTTAAGCCAGTCATTTTAGGTGGTAAGTCTGGCCAGTGTAGATGGTATTGAGCCAATATTGCTTAGATAATTGTATCAAGAGATAAGCATTTTTAGGCTGACTGCAAGGCCCTTATAGAAAAGAGGTTCGTACCTCCTAATATCGTGTATCGAAGCATTTTGGGCAACTTTGGGTGAGGAAAAAAAAAATAAAACAAGAAATAAAGAAAAAAAAAATGAATAAAAAAAAAAACAACAAACCTGGGGGGGATAAATGGGTCATGGGACCCACGGTAAGAACAAAGTTCTTTAAACATGAGATGAGTATAGACACAATTTCTTAGGTAACAAGGGGGTCGCCAGACCCGTAGGAAGAACGAAGCTCTGTAAACGTAAGTACTGCATTCTTGTAGTTCACTAAACAAAAACTTGAAAAACGAATAAAAAAATAAAATAAAAAAAATAGTTGAGTACTCACGATAGTTGAACTTCGTGAGAACGTCGTGCATAAATACAGTACTCACGAAGTAAAACCATCGTGAGTACTAATCAATTTTTTTTATTTTATTTTTTTATTCGTTTTTCAAGTTTTTGTTTAGTGAACTACATGAATGCAGTACTTACGTTTATAGAGCTTCGTTTTTCCTACGGGTCTGGCGACCCCCTTGTTACCTAAGAAATTGTGTCTATACTCATCTCATGTTTAAAGAACTTCGTTGTTACCGTGGGTCCCATGACCCATTTATCCCCCCCAGGTTTGTTGTTTTTTTTTTTATTCATTTTTTTTTT